TAATTTTTTGCTTTATTGCACATGAACTTTTCCACCTCCAAACACATCATGAATCATGGTTTTCCACCACTTTGGCACATCATAAATCAAGTTTTCCGCTAAATATCACATGGAACTTTCATCTTTTAGCACATTTCAAGTTTATATTTTCCACCATCCAACACATTATAAATCAAATTTTTCGTTGCATAGCACAAGAGTTTTTCCCTTTGGCACATTACATATGAGAATTATTCGCTGCATAACACATAGATTTTCCGCTATCTAGCACATTATAAATCAGATTTTCCGCTGCATAACAATGAGTTTTCCGCCTTTGGCGCATCACTAATGAGGACTTTCCGTTGCATAGCATATGAGTTTTTCGCATCTAGCACATCATAAATCAGAATTTTTCCGCTGCATAGCACATGAGCTTTCCACCTTTGGCACATCACAAATGAGGTTTTTTCGCTGCATAGCATATAGATTTTCCGCCATCTGGCACATCATAAATCAGATTTTTTCGCTGCATAGAACATAAGTTTTTCGCCTAAAATATATGGTGAAACTTTTTCCTACTTTTGAGCATTAATCATCTTCTATCGGATTATTCTATTGATGTTCTCCCTCTTCATATGAGCAATTAATTATAGTATTGTATCAATATGGATTTTTTTCTTAAACCAAATACAAATCCACTGCATCTAAAAATAATATATTGGCATAAATTTCAACTGATTGCGTGTAACATTAATCACTTGATAATACAAAGACATATTGGCATTTTATGGATGATTATCACATGTAGAGTAAAGTATATTGGGACTCATTGGCTTACCCAAGAGGGGTGAATTGGGTATAACTTAAAAATTATGGATATGTTAAGCTTAAAAACCTTTTTTAATCGAAAAACTGAAATAAAATATTCTTAATCAAGAATGTGTGCTTAATGATTAACTTGACTACTAAATCAAGATTTACAAGTCCAAAACAAATGAGCAATATAGTAATCAGGGTTATAAAGATTAGTAGCTATATAATAATAATAATAATAACTGCTAGAAATTGAATAATAACACAAAGTAAAAGTAGCAAAGAAATAAACATGTTGCTATGAGATTAGTGGTAATGTAGTTAAATAAATAATAAATAATAAATAATAAATGTAAAAGCAAATAAAAAGTAAATATATTGAAATGTAAATGATAGTTACACTAAAAGTGTGTGTCAAGTTTAGCAGTTAGAGGTAATGAATTAATCACAACATAATAGTTAGGAAATAAACCAACTTTATAAAGATAATTAGCTTGAGATCTAAGGAGTTGTAAGGTTGCTATCGGAATGTCATGGACAAGTTAATTGATTAAAATAAATGATATGACTAAATGCTAAATGGAACAATGACAGTAAGCAACTATAAATGTAAAGTAGTTAAATAAATGACTAATATATGGTGATTGTTGGCAAACAATGAAATACTAAACTATTAGACCAAAATGTTAGTACAGTTAATAAAGTTAGTGATGTTAGTAGTACAAGAATTATACCAAGAAATCTGTATTTTGCAAATCACAATGAGATGAACTAAAAAATATACAATGATTACAAAATAATCAATTGTTCAAGTTTTTACAATTAGTTAAATAATCTAATAGTATTATTTGTAAAGTAATTGCAATAGCTTAAAACAAAATAAGGAAAAAATAAATAACAAAGATAGTGGCACATAAGATTTATAGATGTTTAATAAAACCTTCCGCCTATATTTTTTACCTTAGGCCACCCATAAGAATTTATATTAACCAGTTAGACTTATATGTATTAGCAAATGCCTTACAACCAATTAACAATAGTTTTAAGTGATTGTAATACTTTAACCATCAGGGCTAATAGGTGCTTGTAATAACAAAAAACTAATAGGACTTACGGGTATTTACAATACCTTATAGTTTAACTTACAAGTGTCAACAAGAACAACTCATACACTCAAGATATTACAAATGAAGTACAAAGTGGTAAGATATAATAAGAGACCTCTTAATAGAAAATATAACAATATATAACACAAACCTATTCGGTCAAAAGAGTTTTTCTTATGATACTCAACTCAATTAAGAGACTTCCAATAGATTGATGGGATTGTACAAGCTTATAGGCTTTTCAAATTTTCTTACATCTATAACTATTAAAGATTGACGATATTTTCGTAAAAAAAATACATAACTCTTTGCTAACTTGCACTCTTAAAAACCTATATTTATATAGGTTTTAAAAGCAAGTGGTTGTTTTTTAGACAAATTGATTTTTTTTTTTATCTTCCAATCGATTGGTTCCTCCTATCAATTAATCAACTTGAATTTAATCTGTCTAAGTTAGTCAATTATGCATTTTTTAAGTAATCAACTATTTTTTTAAACATGACACTTTTATGCCTTTATTGTAATCAATTTCACACAATCTTAGAAAATTATGCATGAATTATAACAATTAATTGACCATATATTTATGAGTAGTCGACTATATTATAGAGTTCGGGCAATTGTTCATTATAAACAACTAAACACTTTTAAGCCTTGGAAATATTCATTAATGGATTATAAATATTTGTTTGCCTTTTATAATAAATTTTTAAGATTATAAATACTTGTTTAGGTTAAGGAAAACTTAGGAACCAAACCTATTAATAGCTATTAGTCTTTAAAATTACTTGCACTAAGTTTGGTCTCGTAGGACATCAATAGGAATGCATATTGTGCAATTGATTACATCTAAATCTTAAAGAATTGCACTTTTTAAGAATAATTTGATGTAGTCATCTTATTGATGAGTTATTGTAGTAATCAATCATTTTGAGTAACTCTAATCCATTCCAATTCCAATTGTTTGGTTAAATGAAATCGGAATCCCATTCCCATTCATGTTGGAATGACATTCTCCCCTATTTGAGGGAATAGCCATTTACCTACTTTTCCTTTTGGAGTGAAATCTCATCCTTGCTAAATCCAATTTCAGTTCATTTTTTTGTATAAATCAAACAAACTATGGGAATAGACCATTAATTCCGATTCCAATTACAACTGCAAATCAAATGGGCCCTTAGTTCTTTAGTAGAACACAAACTCACTAGAGATATTTAGTATTGGTGTTGAGAATATGAAACTTAAATAACTCATCAAGTAAACCTTCAACTTATTTATGATTGATAACAAACATAAATATCAATCAATCGATCGAGAGAGATGTAATTAACCATCCCGCTCATGCATAAGACATATATCGATAGAGAGAGAGAGCGAGGTAATTAACCATCTCGCCCATGCATAAGACATGTTATATTTTACAAAATGTTTTAAATATATCAAATATGCGAATCATGGCCAAACCATTTGACTTGTGATTTGGAAAGCATTTTGATTGTATGCTTGGTTTAAAACATTATCCAAAAAGACATGTAAGAGCTAAAAGCACCGCATTTTAAACCCACTTTCCATTTTTCTCAATGATGGTAGAGCAATGGCATATTGTTTGAAACATGATGTTAACCATAAATGGAAGAAGGAATGGGGGGTCATTGAATTAAACCTTATCTTATGAGCCATAGATTTGACATCAACGATAAGAGAGTGATTATAGTTTGGTCAATACTAGGGATGGATGATGACAATGGAGAGCTTATGAAATACTCAACTAGTAATAAAGGAAATGGAAAATGGGAGGAGAGGATGTTCACTGAATTTGGCATGATATGTGAGGTGAATGTGTTATATGTAGCAAGATGTGTTTTTAGGATATTGTTTTGGAATTTGTTGGCTTGGAGTGTAGTTTTGATCCAAGTTGCGAGAGGAGTGAATAAGAACAACCATGGAGGTGGATTTTAGAGCCAACAATTTGAACATACTTTGCTCTTGGGCACATTAAATTATGCCCTAGACCTAGACCTAGACATGTCAATGATGCCCAAAACTTCACAACCCGATCTAAGTATCCCGAACCTAGATGGCACGTTTACGTAATTGGATCATATTCGGATTTTGTGATATGCATCTAACTAATAATTGGATAAAATTCAAATTTGAATCCATCCAATTCAATTATATTATAATATTTTTTTATTTATATATATAAATTTATATAGTTATATTTAAAATTATAAAGAACATATATTTTTATATTATATTATTACTAAACATATATAATAAATTTAGTATGTTATATTTAGATCGTTAAATATAAACTTAAAAACTGTTTATTATTATTTTTTATTTTTTGGGAACCGGATTAAATTTAATCCAATATGAGCCCGTTAAGATTCAATAGCTTAGGCTGCAAGTTTTCAATAGTTAGAACGATTATGAACTTTTCATAATTGAATAATAAAAATTAAAAAAATGATAAAAATACAAAAGATATAAACTTTGTAAAAACCACGTGAGCACACATAATGTTTTATATTAATCATATTAAAAATTAAAACAAGACATGATAAACAATAATTGTTTTTAACATTTTATTGGTGATCTAAATCAAATACAAAAGTGAAAACTAACCTAAAAGTGAAATTGCTATCTTGTTTTATGGTAGATCAATTAATTTTAGGCCAAAAATTGTCAATTCTTGAAGTTATAATTAAATAATAAAATATTGAAAGATAAAAACACTAAAATAATAAAAAATGTATAAAAAATTTGCACATATTAATGGTTAACAATAAGTGTGATAAATAAAAATAATTTTTATAAACATATAAAAACATATTATATAAGACTATCATCATTGCAAAATTTCTCACATGCAAAACACCAACACACATGCCAATTATATATAAAGTTGAAAAGTAATTATTTTTTTTGTTTTTTCTGTATTTTTAAAAATTAAAATGGATCCAGATAAAACACAATCCAATCTGAGTCCGCGTTCCGTTTTGCAAATCCCCTAATAAAAACGCGGATTTTAAGGTACCGTATATGATACGGTTTGATCGGTCTGTCTGAATAGCATCGCTAAACTGGTCAGTTATTCTCACCGCTCGAGCGCTTTGTTAAGCAGGGTAATGTCTCTTCAATTTCTTTTCTTCTTTTGGGCCCCCGCTTCCACGAAGTACCGGGAAGGCGGGCAACGACTCTGTGAGGTTCTCTCATTCCCTCTGTTGGATTGATTCAGAGTTCAGACACTTAAAACCCTCAGTTGTTGCCTCTCGTTATTCCTCTCTTCTCGTGTCCATCTCTCTTCATATGCTTTAATGGCGTCCGAGGAGCAGTTACTGGCAATTAAGGTGCATTTCTCTCCCTTCGTTCTTCTCTTTTACTCTTTCAGTGCCATTAAGTTTCATTAGAAGGTTTATTTAGTTCAATTCAAGTAGAAAAACGGGTCTGTTAAACTATGCAGAAAGCGAAGGTGCTGATGGTTGGGGCAGGCGGTATCGGTTGTGAGCTTCTGAAGACGCTTGCTCTCTCTGGTTTCCAGGATATTCATATCGTAAGCTGCTTTCATGTGGTTTTCTTGGAGGTTTCGTTGATTTATTTTAGGGGGGGGGGGTTAGGCTCCTTTACTAATTTTCTTGCTGGTTCTAGGGTTTTGTGAGTGAAAATTTGCTTTTTCTTCAGCTCGACTGTCCGGGTAGTTGTGAATGGTTGTTGAGTAGGGAAATTTGGTTTTCATTTTTTCCCCTATTTTCAATATTCTGATTAACAAGATTAGTTTTAGTTATTTTTCCCCTCTTTCCACACTAACCTACTGGCCAGTGTTCTACTTGATGTTGTTAATCTTGTATGTGCTTCTTTTGTTCATGTATTTCTAACAGCGTATCCCACAACTACCAACAAGATTGATGCATATCTGTATGTTTGCCTAACTATTAGAATTTATATTTTTTCAAGTGCGCCCTATATAAAGAAAATAAAGAATAAATATTAAAGAGAAAGATAAAAAAATAAAGGCAGAAAACATGTTTATAGTTTTTTTTTTTAAATTATTTCACATCAGTAGGAAGCCATGGTCTTTATTTAAAAGTAATTATTACCTTTAATAAAAATTTCAAAGTAATTATCGTGGTACGAACCATGAGATATATGCCAACGTTATGATATGGCTTTATGATGGGATAGATTTATGTGTTCAACATGTTATGTATAGCTTTTGTTATGAAGTTCAAAGTTAGGAGCATGCTGTTTTACCTTATGCCCAATAACCCAACTTGCAATTTAGAGCATACAAATTTTGGGTCATCATGTGTCAGCATGCAACTTTTTTCAAATGATTAAATGAATAGTGCTTACGATTTTCATTTAGAAGCATGGGAACATGTATGTATTGGGAGGTTGCTTTTCTCAGGGGTAAGGCTGCGTACATCTATTCCTTCCCAGACCCCACATTGGGAAGAGCCTCATGCACTGGGCTGCCCTTCTTATAACATGCCTCAAATTTGCTAGTATGAGTTTATGTAGGCTTTTTTTTCCCCTTCACTTAAGCATTTTGCATATTTTTGCTTTCACTTGCAGATTGACATGGACACTATAGAAGTCAGTAACCTAAACAGACAATTTTTGTTTCGACAATCACATGTGGGGCAATCTAAGGCAAAAGTGAGTAATTTGTGCTTCTGGATTGCATTTATGTGGATGCATGGGGACTGTGATTGATGTTTCAAAGTTAGCATTTGCGAGGTTGTTGGTTTAATTCAGTTGCTATTTATTTTGTAACCCAGGTTGCTCGAGAAGCAGTCTTGAGATTTAGGCCTCACATAAGTATTACACCATACCATGCAAATGTCAAGGATCCTGAATTCAATGTAGACTTCTTTAAACAATTCAATGTTGTTTTGAATGGCCTTGACAACTTAGATGCAAGGCGACATGTTAATCGTCTTTGCTTGGCAGCTAATGTTCCTTTGGTTGAAAGTGGAACTACTGGGTTCCTAGGGCAGGTGATTATGTTTCACATTGTATTTCGTTTATCTAAATTGAGATTCTATTTTTCATCTCTCTTCTTCATTGATAGTCTCTGCGTATGCTTTTTTTTTAATTCTTTATGTATTATTTGCCTAACTTTCCTTACTGTTATAAGAATAATGGCTGGGGAGTATAAGATTCTTGTCCAACTCACCTCCATGTTGCCTAGTAATTATGGGTGCTCTTCGTAAATAAATAAATGATAAGAATTTGAGTCTTAATTTGGACTTTTAGATAGCCAATACGTTGGTCAATAGACTGGTAGCATGATGGACTTAATTTTTCCCCATAAATTAACATGATATTGAAGGATAAATTTGCACAATAAGTTACTAGGAATTCAAATTAATTGTTTTCTTTTTTAGTTTTTTATACCAATAGACAAGCATGCAAATTGAAAAAAGCGAAGCTTTTAATTATTAAAAACAATGACATTTATTTATAGCAAAACATAATAAATCATCATATCCAAATAAAAGACTATCATTTTAAATCTATTAATTTTAATATTTCAAACACAAGAATGCATTCTCTTTTTGTTTTAACGTTTTTTTCCCCTTGTCATGTCAACAACATATTTGGGCTAGGATCTAGGGGTAGACCACAAAAGGACATGGGTTGAAATAGTAAGAAATGATTTAAGCACTCATAATTTAACAATGAATATGACATTAAACAGAGTGGAAATGTGGAATGGTGAAACAGTATTCATGTAGCTGACTCCATATAGTTGGGATAAGGCTTGGATGATCAGCAACATATTTCAAACACAAAAAGTACAATGTAATAGGTATTTTATAGAGTAATTGTGTGCCAGAAAACATGCCTCACAAAAGAAGGAAGTGAAAGACAAAGTCTTGCCTGGGGGCACCATGCCCAGGGGCAGACATGTGTAGTTAATTCTGTTTTTAATTTATTTAGTCATTTTAGTCAGACTATTGACTGTTTTATACACAAATTTGGTTGCCTCTGCTAGTGGTCTTTTCACTAGTAAGAGTTTTTATTTTTCATTAATTAATAAAAAAATCCAGTTGGTTTTAGAAAAAAATTGTATGCCAAAAAACTATTATCAAGTATAAAATTATATAATTTTGTATCAATAAAAGGTTTAAGAGAGAATAATTAATGAAAAAAAATGAGAAAAACCAAGGGTGGTGTCCATGTTTTGTTTAATGAGGGGATAATTATAGAAAAAAGAAGGAAAAACCTCTTTTGCTCTTTTCTCTCACTCTCTCTCTCTCCTCGAAAGCCTTGGATACTTATAAATTAATAGTAAAACCTTAAAATAAAACATAAGTAATGTAAGCTATATGATGGGATGCATAAACACATATGCTAATGAGATGTACTCCCAGGTCCTTTACACAAGTCCTTGGTTCTTAGATGAGCACCTTTTTGCATGTGTGATGCTTTGGCAACTATATTTTCATGATTCATGACTCAATTAGAGAAGTTTATTTGTGCATTTTTGAGAAGAGATAAAGTATACTTTCATTAAAATAATCAAATGAGCTCTGTACAACTAGATGCTGTACAGGGGATATACATCATTACATACAAAAAGAATGCATATACCACGGTACCACCAACCCCTAGAGTTTACAAAAAGAATTTCATAAACAAAAAATTTACTGTGATCTTTTCTGTTAAAACTTCTGTGTACTGCTACCCAAAAATGCAGTTTGCTCCTTATTTTCTGTCAAACATCCTTAGCTGAGCAACCTTTGTTCTTAAACACTCTAGAGTTCCTCTCCTGCCATATGACCCAAAAAATAACCCCTTGAATCATTTGCAGTATGATCTTCCTTTTATAACTTAAGCCTTGCAGGTACCATCCCTTCCAGAACATCTCCATAGGTGTGGGACAGCAAAGCATTCCCTGAAAACAAAGAGCTTAAAAACTTGTCCAAATGTCATAAGTGAAGCTGCAATGTATCATTAAATGGTCCAGAGATTCATCATTTCATTGCACAACACACACTCTTGGGAATCTAGCAGCATTCCTTCTTCAATAAATTATCTCTAGTGAGTATCTTATTTAGGTTAGCGGCCCAAATGTAAAAAGCTACCTTGGATGGTATGCTCTTTCACCACTGTATTAGTGGAAATGTGTACAACACTATCTCCAGTGAGTATCTGATATGTACATTTTATGTTTAGAGGCTCTTATTTTCACAATTCAATCAGAGAATGTGTCTCCTTTTGCTACAGGTTGATCATACATTGCATGGACTAGAATGTTAGTTTTAATTCATGGGAATGGAAGTTTTACAGGGCAAGGGTTTTTTGAGTGAGTTTGCAAATGGTTTGTGGGACTGATAATGAAAACGTCCTAGGAAAAGCACTAGGCTGAGCCATAGCATGATGCTTAGACTGACAACCTCTTACTTTTCTAGGCAACTAAATTGCCACCTAGAGAAGTATAGCTTCCAATAGTAGATCACTTATTAGAAGATAAATTTTGCTCATTCAGTATCAATAAAGCCCAGCACATTCAGATTTCCATTATCTCTATATGGTTGTCCATGACCAGTCGACAGTCCATGAACTGGTTGATCACACTAATTGCATAAGAGATGTTAGGTCGTATCACTCGTGTAAAGGTGATATAATTTAACTTCACAACCGGCCTTCTGTATCTCCATTGTTTATCAAGTAAGTCTCCTTGATCTATGTCTAGCTTTGTTTTGGGATCCATCATTGTAGAGCATGGCTTGGATCCCAACATTCTGGTCTCTTTCAATGGCATACTTGCATTATCGATACACTTCAATTCCCAAGAAATACCTCAATTTCCCTATGTCCTTTCTATGGGACCTTCTCCTCAAAGAAAGGGCTTAAGTTCTTCAATGCATTGCTTATTAGGACCTGTAATAACACTATCATCAACATACATGCCATCAGAATAATCTTTCCTGCAGGGCTGCAATTGTCTTCTTGCAAAACACTAAGGTGGCGTTTGATAACACTTTTCAGATGTTGGTGGCGTTTGATATGGTCTTGCGTCTAATATCTGATTAGAGGAAAAATGTCTTGACACAGGTAGAGATGGTCACACACATAACTGATTCTGATGCATTTCAGATGTAATTATTTAATAATAACAAATAATAGTATTTATTTAATGATAATAGCTATCAAAAAATAATAATGATGATATTATTATTATTATCTCATAATATTGAATAATAATATTTTTATTTAAAAATAGTTTTCTAATAATATTTTTATCTAATATTAGTTAATAATAACAAATAAATATTATTATTCAATAAATAATAACTAATATTATTTATTTGAATAATAATTGTAAATATCACTATTATTACTTAACAATATTTAAAAATATTAATAATTAACAGTAATAAAACTTTATTTAATAATAATAATAATTTTATTTAATAAATATCTGTTTAATAATATTTTTATTTAATAAATATCTTTTTAATAATATTAGTTAATAATAATAAATAAATATTACTATCAAATATTTATGATTAATTAAATAATAACTAATATTAGTATTTATTTAACAGTATTAATTAACTAATATTATTATTTATTTAATTAAATTATAATATTTTATTGAATACTATTTATTCATAATATTACTAAATAAATAGTAATATTTAATAATAATAACATTAATGTTATTTTTATTATTTAATAAATATTTTTAATAATTTTTTTGTTTAATATTCTTTTGATATTATTATTAGTTAAATAATAACTACTATTATTTATTTAAATGAATAATAATATTATTGCTGTTACTGTTATTATTATTATTTAATAATAATACTTTATTTAATAATTATCTATTTAATGACATTTTTATTTAATATACCTTTTATTATTTTACTGATAAAAATATTCCTTTTATTATTTTAATATCATCAAAAGTCTATTTTCAGGGGTAAAATAGTAAATTTAACAGTTTCAGATGTTGGAGAATTGCTCCAACTCAAACAATCTTATCTTTTCAGAACCTCTAAAAAGCAGAAAATCATTTCTACTTTTCAGATTTCAAACCCAAATAATAGGTCTTGACTTTTCAGGCATCAAATTTCAGATTTACCAAATGCTACCTAAATGATAAGATTGACACTTATTTAACCAAAAGGAAACTTTGGCCTTACTAAATTTTCCAAACTAGGCCGGAGGGGACTGCTTAATTTGATAAAGTGCCTTTCTCAAGAGGCACACTTTCCCAAACAATCCTTGAGCAACAACCTAGGAGGTTGCTACTTGCTCCATTTATACATTTTCTTGTAGGTTACCATGGAGGAAACCATTTTTAACATCTAATTGGAATAGGGGCTAATAGTATGTCACCACAAGAACAAGTATGTTGCATATTGTTGCTAACTTAGCAATAGGAGAAACAGTCTTTCCATGGTCCATTCCTATGTCTAAATAAAGCCCTTATCAACAAGGCGAGCTTTCAAATTTTCAATAGAACCACTAGCCTTTCCAGGAAGGAATGAAAGCACAGCCATTGAAGAGGGGGAGAACAGAAAGGGAGATGAGGGGACTGGGATTGAAGGAGCAAAGGAAAAAAGACTTGTGGAAGAGATGTGGGAGAATAAAGAAGGAGAAGGGGACAGATGTGTAGAAGAGGAGGAAGGAGGGAAGAAGGATTTGGGGATTGAAGGAGAGGGAAATGAAGGTGAAGAAGGTAAGAATGGTGGGGGGGGGGGAGTTTAGAACATATAAAAGGAAAAAGTACAGAACTTTCCCTTTAGAGGAGACTGGAAAGGAGGGGATGGAAGTGGATTCAGGGGAGGAATATGAGTCTGAGCTGATGATTGATGAGACCCATTTGGTAGAAAAGACTGCTAACATTGAGGAAGTGGTGAATAGGGGAGTGAAAGTTAGCAAAATTTTGGGTCTGTTTTTTCTAGGAGGGGAGGAATTTGTAAAAGAAGCCTTTAGATCTATGGAGGAAACATTTGGGAAGAATGAAAGTTTGATAGATCCAGCAGTTAATCCTAATTTTGATAACTCAACAAAGCAAGAGATGGAAGGGATAGCTGGAGGTTGTGGGGATTTCATAGCGAAGCCAGAAGAAGTGGTCAAGGAGATGGTGGTTGAAGACAGAGGTCAGAAGCCAGCGGGAATCCTGAAGCAGCAGTGGGAAATCTAAACACAGTCAGATTTATCAAAATAAAAAAAATCTAAACACAGTCAGAAGATTCAGAAGTCAAAGGAATAAAAGATCCCAGTCTCTAAGGTTTTCATAAGGTTAAAAGGTGGTCTATTTGGATTGGGACCTAACAAGCTTGTAAGAAAACCCAAAGGATTAGTCAAAAAACGACAACAAAACTGTACTAAAACAACTGAAGAAGATGATTGAAGTGGTAATTTGGGGTTTGGGTATCTTGCTTGGGTTTTTGTTGCCATCGGGCTGTTTTGGTATTCTTGTTTATTTCGCCTTTTATATTGTATTGCATAATTTGCATTGCTATGGGTAAGGGGCTTTCGTTAGTTGGTTGATTTGGGTTTGTTTTGTCTCATTGGGTTTTGTTTGGGTTGGCCTTTCTTTTCGGGTGATTGCTTATCACCTTCCTTGTGTCTTCTTTTTTGCTTTAATAAGTTATTTTCTTTTATCTTCATTTTTTTTTCAATAGAACCACTAGGTAGATACTTAATGGTATGTACCCAATGACACCCAACACACCTTTCCTGGAGGAAGAGAAAAACAAGATTTCATGTCCCATTCTTGTATAGAGCCGATATATCTTATTTCATAGCTGTCCTCCGGATTGAGGTAGACATTGCCTTTTGAAGAGATTTAGGAGTAGAAGTAGATGACAAAGAGTAAAAAGAACTATAGATGCTATGTGATATGGAGGCGTAGAACACGAACTGATCAATACTCAATAGGATGAGCAATATAGGTGTAATTACTTTTATGAAGAGCAATAGGTAAGTCAAGGTCTACGGCAGTCCATTCCTCAAAAAGTCGAAAGCAGATAACACCTTTTTTTTTGTTTTTTTTTTCAGTTGAAAAATTGGAAAGGTTAGACTGTTATCAAGTCTTTGCTTCTGATGACAGAAAGATTCATACTTCTTCTAAATCATTTGGAATTGTACTTTTCTGTGTTTTTGTGTTTATCCTGTAAATTTGTATTTAATATTTACTGTTAATTTCTTGATGGTATCCTCATTATGCCATGATACTATGCTATGTTTTTTGCCTGAGTGTTTCTGATAATGACCACTGTTTTTATGTTTTTGTATTTCAAGGAGAGCAGGTCACTGTTCATATAAAGGGTAAAACAGAGTGCTATGAATGCCAACCAAAACCTGCTCCAAAAACGTATCCTGTTTGCACCATAACTAGTACACCGTCAAAGGTACTGAATGTTGGAAGTAAAAGTCTTTGTTGCTTGTGCTTTGTTTAGATTGTAAATGACCGCTATTGTATTTTATTCCTTGGGTTATTAAAACTCTGCATTTTGCTGTACTTTTTTTTTGATGACATTTTGCTGTACTTTGGCTGCCAGCAAGATCTTTTTATCAGCAATAGTATTGAGGCTTTTAAGTTTGTCACTAACAAAGAAATAGAAACATCAAATCATTTTATTAGAACAAAGCATTTATGACTACAATAGACTTTTCTTCTCTTGAACATGAGAGGAATAACTAAAAAAGGAAAACAAAGACAACCATAAAGAGGTCATGGCTTACTCTGGTAATACCATCTCCACATTACAAAGAGCCATTAAATACCTCTCCTATCTAGAGCATCTTCTAAAGATCTGGATGATCTAGGAATCTAGCTGACAAGATGTTATGATGGAAGCTAGTGATCTTTGTCTCTCTTGTATGATGTTGCAGCTCTCATGGACCATCAGTTGCATTTCTCTGCATCCTATTACCATGAATGAATCTTTTTCCACCTCTGCTATTATGTTTAGGGGTGGCTAATTCTCAGCCCCTGCAACAAGGATTATATTTTTCATTGAAAAAGGTAAACTATATTTTGTTTATATAAATCAGAACCTGTGTACAAAAACCTGTATACAATGATGTTCTATCTATATGTGTCTGTATACAAATTTTCAAAAACCAAAACTGAGCTGTATGTCCATCCAAAAAATTCTGTGTACCAAGCTCCAAGATGTTACAGTCCCCACTGTTCTAGAGATCAGTTCCTCCTCGCTCCAAATCAAATTCATGAATATGTGAGCATTTCTTTCCTTCCACACGTTCTAAATTGCTGCAGCAGGAATGCGTCTCCAGACCACATTTCTTTTGGACAAGTGGACCCTTTCTTTCATAGGCCCCTTGTTTTCCAACTTAGTGACAGTGATTCCAACCTGTCAGGAGAACATCCCACAATTTTAGAGTTTAGGCAGACCAGGAAATTTTCCCCACACAAATCCAGCCACCTTGCAACACATAAATAGGTGATCAGCAGTTTCCTTCTCCAACTCACACATAGTGCATAAATCTGAGTCAATTGGCATTCCTCTTCTAATCATGCTGTCCCTTGTGAGGCATTTTCCTATCACTGCAGTCCACACTAGGAATGATACCCTTGACTTGGAGGGAATATGGGATATCTGAACTCTGCTACTAGGGAAGTCTGTGACAGTTGACTGATCTAACGTTCTAATAAAAGCTGGTGGAAAATAATCTTGATCTCTGGGTTCTGTTGTTATGGTTTTAAGTCAAGTTCTACTCTACTAAGTCAAGGATTATGTCTCTACCTTTATTGTTATTACCTCTCATACAGAGCCAGAGAATGCAGCATTCACCTCTTGCAAGTGGTTCTAGAGAGCTCTTCCTATGTCTCATGGCCTGGGTTACCTAGAGAATATGCATCGAAGCTGAATTTTAAGTCCATTTGGTTGGGGAATCCATTTCCTCTGCTCTGGTTGTATTGACTGCACAACTTTCATCACCTTAATAGAAATGATTTTGGGGAGAAGCTGTTGGAAACTTTAGAAGTAGTTGCTGAGTAACCTTCTTGTTGTTTTGGCTTTTGTTTGTATTATTATGTTTTTGCCATTTGGTTGTCAGAGTTGATTGTTGCTCTTGCTCATTCCAAATTCAAAAACCTTAATAGAAATGATTTTAGGGAGAAGCTGTGGAAACTGTTCTTTGTTTGATCAAAACTGTAGAGTTTCATTAAAACAAAAGGTAATAGTACAAATAGAAAATCATTGAGAGATATTCCTCCTCTCTCTCTCCCCTTGATTTTAACCACAAGTTACAACTGTGCCCAAAATAGTTGATTTCTCCCAGCTCCTTGTTTGGCTAATGCATCGGCCATAGAATTAGCAGTTCTTTTCACCCATTGTACTCGCAGCTCCATGTTTGTAATCCATTTAAATTTTTTCTTCTTATTGTTGTATCTCCAGTCTCCACATCCTGCATTCCTCATCTAGTAGCCATGCCACTACAAGTTTGGAATCCCCTTAGCTTCCTAAAGTTCATAATTCCAGCCCTTTGCACTCCTTCCATAAGTACCATAACTTCCACTCTTAAAGAGTTATTCTCACCTGCTGGACCTGAAAATAGTGCAACCACTTTACCCTCCTCATCCCTGAATTCTCCTCCAATTCCTGACATACCCAGGTTTCCCAAGCTGTGGGAAACTTTAGAAGTAGTTGCTGGGCCACCTTCTTGTTGTTTTGGTTTTTGGTTGTATTATTATGTTTTTGTTATTTGGTGGATGGAGTTGATTATATTTGTGGGTGAAAGCTCTTCACCTAGTTGTACCTTTATCAAAAAGAAGAAAACCACAATTAGGCCTTCACCTCTAGCATGAGTGTATTGACCACTTCAACTTGTAAATTAAAGGAATATCCTCCAAACATAAAAAAAGGAATATACTCTGTTGCAGTCAAATTACACTTAGCCCAACCTCCACCCAACTTGAGGGAGGGTGTTGAATTATATATGGCATATTTACTTTTTGGTGTAACTGTGTAAGGGTAGAATTGTTTTTTTCATGTTATTTTATTTTCATCCTATATATAATAAGAGAGTGGGTGCTGCCACTCTTATGATTCCTTTTCAAATTTCTCTTTTTTTCTTATATCTCTTTTTTAACTCTTATTTATAGTAGGCAATAGAAAATTTTGATCCTATAGCTAAGATGATTTGAGTTTGTGTTTTATTGTCTTTTGTTGTGCATTTCTCTTGGCCCTTGTGTTAGTTTGATGTTAAAAAAATGCCTCTTTTAATGGAGATCTTCATGAAGAGGTGTATATGAAACCGCTACAAGGTGGGGCTCTAGGTTTGGGGGGGAATTTAGTGAAGAAAAATACTCAGGAAATGGTTATGAAGATTTCCAGTGGGTTTGGATAAATTGTGGCACAAAGTGGTGAGTTGCAGACGTGAGACTCATAGTTGTCAAGGCCTAGGTGACAAAAATTACAAGGTGGGCAACTTATTATAATTTTTTTGATCATTAGCAACTTATTATAATATCATTTATATTATTGCATCTTTTTTTTGGTCAGCAACACAGAAAAAATTTCAATAATTATGTGAGAAACATGATTACAACAAGAAGTTGTGAAAGGAACCAGCTATAGGAACTGTCCCAATTCAGTACTACATTTGAGCCCAAAACATGTGTGTTCTATGTATCCCTTGCTTGGCTAAGCTATCTGCCAAACCAGAGTATAAAGCAATTATGTTCCCCTCTTCATCCCTAATGACTCCCCCAATACCTGAGGGCCCTGGGTTACCCAAACAGCTCCCATCAAAATTCAGTTTCTTCCAACCATTTATTGGAGGAGACCAAACCTCAACAGATCTTTGTCTTGTAGTTGAGGATGCAGCGATGGTACCCCAAGCTCTGAAGAAATCTTCAATCTTGAAATCCGAAAACAGCTTCAAAGCTTTTTGCCCAATGATTTACCCTCAATGTTATAGTTTCAACCAGAGTTTCCTAGCTTCGTTCCTTCTCTTCAAATATTCTTGCATTTCTTTCCTCCCACACAGTCCAAATTAGCGCAGCTCTAGTGCATCTCCACAAGGTCCTACCCCTCTTTTTTGTACAGCTAATGCTAGTATGGCTAAACAAACCCTCCAACCTATCAGGAGAAAACCACCTGCATCCAAAAAGAGAAGTAAACCAATCCCAAACAAAGCTAATAAACGGGCAAGAGATAAGAAGATGAATCACAGTCTCACCATTCAACTTGCAAAGAACACACCAGTTGGGGGACAAACACCAGTTTGGTCTATTCCTTTGAAGTAAATCAAAGGTATTAATGCTTCAATGAAACACTTCCCAGCAGAAGGCGCTAATTTTAGGGGGAATGGGAGAACGCCAGACTTCCTTAACCGGGAAAGAATAGGAAGAAGAGGTGGCAACCAGAGAACGAAAGGACTTGCAAGAGAAATCCCCCACAGAATTAGGACCCCATATTCTAGAATCTGAGCCACCTTCACACAAGAAAACTGAATTCAACAAGCTCAAAAGATCAGTCATCATATAAAGTTCAGATTCTCTAAGGTTTCTAATGAAGCCAAAATTCCAATTCAATCCTGTAGAGAAGTGATGCTGAGTAAGGAAGTCAGAGATGGGCCTACCCTTAAACCTCATATGATGTAAGAAGGTAGAAGATAATCATGGATGGCCTTCCATGGGGCAGCCAAGGTAGCTCTATGAAGACATCCTGCATCCCACCCATTTATACTATATATACCATTACTTTGGTTTAATGTTCTACTATTGAAATTTAAAAGATCAAAGGGTTTTGAGAAGAGAAAAAAAGAAAGAAAGAATGAATAGAAGTGTAGAGACTAGAGATGTTTCTTTTTTTTTTTTTCTCTCCCTCTCATCAATTAAATTAAATAGCAACTCCATCCTTGCTTTTTCTATTTTTCTTTTCATCTTATAAAGTTAACCTTCTTTAGTTGCTAATTGATATGTTTTTTTTGATCAATAACTCAATGGTTTCATTAGTTAAGGCAAAAAGTAATACGTACAATATGTAGAGGTATAGGACAAAGACCTTGAGAATCCCTCCCCAGACAGTCCCATCTCCCTTACAATTGTGCCCAAAATAGAGAATCTCTCCCCATTCCCTGTTTGGCTAAGGCATCAGCTACAGAAAACAGAATTAGCATTTCTCATAGAGTTTATTACAGTAGTATTATTTTTTGAAAATAATGAATTAATATATTGAAAAGATTTTTACCTTTTAGATATGATGATTTTCCACTTTTATAGAGGAAATTGAATGTTCTTAATAAAGAGAAATGCTATTGTTTTAATTAATATGCATGCTGAATGGTATATAAAACTAGTGAACTAGCCAAAAGTTGGTTCTTTATATTATAAAATTTTTATCGCCTAGGCACCCCAGTTTGCCCAGAATGGCCTAGATGCCTTGACAACTATGGTGGGACTTTGGCAAATGGACGGGATGCAGGTACCTCAAGTAGTGCCTCTTTATCTTCTCCTTGGAAGGCCATATCTAGCAATTTCCATCCTTGTACAATTTATTAGGTATGATAGTAACTTAGGCAACAACGCCAGATTTTGGGAAGATGTTTGGTGGTGTATTAATGCTCTTAAAGACCATTTTCTCTACCTCTACCCCCTTGCAACTTCTTCCTATCAATTAAAAATTCCTATCAATTAAACTTGGTATTATTCAGTTCATCTAAAATTATTTGTTGGGAGTTTTTTCATTTAAAGATTAATACCTTTAAAACTATCCATATTTGTTTTTTTGTGCAATGCAAGTGGAGAATGCACCTATCACTTACTAATCTCCTGCTCTTTTGCCTCTAGTATATGGAAAAAAGGATATTCTCCTTACTTGGTTGCAGGTGGAAGTGATAGCTGACATCAGAAACTTATTTAAATCATCTTTCTTTACCATGCATAGCAAGGGGAAGATAAAGGAGCAATATTATGGAAGATTTGGGAAGAGAGAAACATTAGAATTTTCTAAGAGCAGAATAAGTTTGTTGATGGCATTTTAATCAAAGTTGTGCATTTGATTAAAATAATGGAAGCATTTGTCCCTTCTCCATAGCTGACTTACTTTGGGGATGGGAACATATAATCTCAATCATCAACAACTCAATTATTGCGTACCTCCATTGAAGCCCTCCACTCTCAAACCAAACTAAATTGAATTTTGATGGATGCAGTAGGGGAAATCCATGCACTTCAGGAGCTGGTGTTGTCTTTAGAGACTACCATGGACCATAATAGGTATATTTTCAGCCCCTATTGGTGTTGGGGACTCAAGAAATGCAGAAATTTCAGCTGTTCTTTGGGGACTGAAGCTATTTAAATCACCATTATCAGAAATCTAATAGAAGGGGGATTCATATGTGGTGTGTGATGGTTGAAAAAAATCCAGTGTGTACATGGAAATGCAGAAACATGATGAGGGATATAAGGCAAACAGGAAAATATATGATGATTACTCATACATGGGTTAGAAAACTAGCTAATGTTTTAGCTGACGAGCTGGCTAAAGCATTATCTGTGAAAATTGGGATAGGTAGCAAAGCCAGCCTATAACCCTGTACTGAGTTTTGAAATACTATATGTAAATATTCATTCTTTATACCACAATAGATAAATTTAACTGTTACCAATAAAAAAAGAATGGGGAAAAAACTAGTAACAAGGACAACCAAAATGGAATTCATGACTATCCGTACTTTTAATCTAATCATACTCATGGTAGGAAGCTCTAGAATTCTATCTTTTGCCAAATCTCCAGTTCCTATTCTGACTCAATTACATTAACAGAAATTTTCTCTAGACTATAATAAACTAGACCTCAGTAAAGTTTTCTAGCTAACCTATAAAAAGAATTTATGCTTATAATTTTGATTGTCAGTGATTTAAGAGCTTAAGCAGTGTTGTTGACATGTCAGCATATTCTAATCCATTATCCTGTCATTGGTATTTTTGTTTTTTTTTTCCAAGTATGATCTTATGATGCAGGACAGATAATGGCCAGGAATAGCCCTTAAAATTCAGGTTATTGGTTGGATACCGGATCTCTTTCCCTAAGGATGTGAAAAAATTAGTAATGAGGAAAATCAAAATTTAGAATTAACGGTTTTCCATACTTCTAATTTAATCATGTAGGTTGCTCTAGATTTCCTTCTTCTACTAAGTTTTTAATTTTGATCTGATTCAGATTACATTGATAGAGATTTTATTTGGACTCTTTAACAAGCTAGATCTTATTATTATTATTTTTTTGTAAAAGGTAATGTAATTTTAATCATCAAATACATACTGAAATTCAGACCCAAGAAGGCAGTCTGAAAAACAGCCGGGATCCTAAATTAGTTGGATACTGGATAGCTCTTTCTCAAAGAATGTGGGAAAAAAATATACTAACCAGAAAAATCCCAATTGAGGATGTATGGTCATCCATACTTCCAATCTAAATCAAAGTAGGTTTCTCTAGATTTCCTACTTCTACCAAATTTCCTAATTGTAATCTATTTCAGATCACATTGATAGATAACTTATCCATATTCTTTAACAAACTAGATCCCCATAAGGCAAATGCTTAAAACTCTATGTTTTGCCTTTTTTTTAAGATACCATATGAAAATGTTCCTGCTTATCATCGTGATGATCAGTGGTTTCAGAGCTCAGATCATGTTGTTCACATACCAGCATATTTTAATTTGCAGTCAGCATTATCCTTTTAGTAATCTCAAATAATAGTTTCATATAGAATGGGACTAAAGTAAATTTGCAGTCAACATATTTATGTCTCATGGCTTTGTCATAAAATAACTTGTGAAAGTTATAGATCATTACTATTTTATTATATTTAGCGAGATATTTTTTAAGTGTTTTATTTTGTTTCTTTTCTTTTCTTTCTTGTCTTCTGCTGCTTCTTTTTTTTTGTCCAATTTGTGCATGTGCTTTTATGTGGTTCATTTCTGGAAACTTCTAAGCAGTCCTTGGTGTTACCATTGTCTGAATTTTGCAGTTTGTTCACTGTATTGTTTGGGCAAAGGACCTACTTTTTGCGAAGTTGTTCGGTGACAAGAATCAGGCCAATGATCTGAATGTACGCTCTGGTGATGCTACTGGGTCATCAGAACATGCTGAAGATTTCTTTGAGAGAAGAGAAGATGAAGATTTTGAGCAGTATGGGCGGAGAATATATGATCATGTCTTTGGATATAATATTGAAGTGGCTTTATCCAATGAAGAGACATGGAAAAACAGAAACAAACCAAAGCCTATATATTCTAGGGATGTCCTGACTGGTGAATTTGTTCAACAGAATGGCAATTTGGACAAGAATTCTCATATTGATGACCCATCAACAGTGTCTGCAATGGCATCTCTAGGCCTGAAGAATCCACAGGATATTTGGAGCTTGGTGGAAAACACAAGAATATTTCTGGAGTCTTTGAAATTATTTCTGGGGAAAAGGGAGAAGGTTTGACTTAATCTGTAATACTTTTGAGTTTGAATTTGGTTTGATACTTTGATCTGGACTTCAGAAGCGTTACATCTTTATTTTTCTTCACTCCCTTATGCACTGAAGACTGCTTCATTTTTCTTCTCTACAGGAAATTGGTAACTTGATTTTTGATAAAGATGATCAGTTAGCAGTAGAATTTGTAACTGCAGCAGCAAATATTCGTGCAGCTTCTTTTGGTATTCCTATGCAAAGCCTGTTTGAAGCTAAAGGTATTGCAGGCAATATCGTGCATGCTGTTGCCACAACAAATGCCATCATTGCTGGGTTAATTGTGATTGAAGCAATCAAGGTGCTTCAGAGTGACACAAACAATTACAGGTGTGGAGCATATTCGTTTCTCCCTTTTTATTTTTAAATGTTCCAAAAATGGTGGTTTTATCTGTTATACTAGCAGGGCCCCATGCGATGCACGGGAATACCTGATATCAGATATGATGACAGAAGGGATTAAAAAGAAATGTAAACATTATATCATTGCCCCTGAGCAAGAACGCCAATTATGGTTGTCTTCATTTCTCTTTCTTCTATGTTCTTAGTCCTGTTGAGTCACAAAATAGGGAAGAAGAAGAAGAAGAGGACGAGGTGGAGGAGGAGCCCCTGTGCTCGGCGACCAGGGAGAGGGAGAACATAGGGGCAGAGCCCTTGCCATTGGGCTGTAACATAGAATATTAGAGTCAGTGTCTTTGTAAGACGAAACGTCTTCTATGAAGAAGCTCATGGAATGACTCTCTAATAGGCTTTGAGAAAAATAAGAAAAATTAAAAAATAGGAGAAAATTAGGAGGGGGTATTCAAAAAGGGTAAAGATGGAGGAAAGAGGGATGCTGACTTGGCATTAAGGAGAGGGATGGGAAGGGGAAAGGTAGGAGGGAGAGGGTGCGTGAGGTGGCATTCCTTGTTATATATATTATAGATGTATGGGAAATTTCTAACTAACCAATCTGTCTATTACATTTATGGTCTTGCATGGGTATCTTATTCTAACTGCATTTTTTTTTTGGTTTGCAATTTGGGAGTTGAAGAGGCCTTTTGATAAGGAGGGGCTGGTTCGACCTAGAGTTGAACTGGTGGGTCAAATGCACTCATCTGACTTATTAGAGGATCATGTGTAGGTTTTGAAGCCTATAGGTGAAGGGGGAAGAATTAAGCTTGGACGGGCCAGTTCTGGTCTAAAGCCCAAAGATGGAAGGGCAGGTGGTAAAGTTTATTGGGCGAAGAGGTTGGTGGAAAGTCGGTGTGATAAGGGGAAAGTGAGACGTCATCTTCAAGAAATTCAGAAACATTTCAGCCTTACGAAGGGATAAGGGACATAAGGATATCTGGGAATCAGTTATCATTAGGTTTGAGCAGAAAAAGGAGGAGATCTGGGTGGAAGCTGTTTGGGATTGTTTATCTTCAGGTGTTAAGGCTGGATAGAAGCAACAAGATAAAAGTTCGACCAATGTTTTGATGGTGCCTGTTCGAGGAGGGGAGGATTTCTGACCTCGGGGAAGCTCAGGTGTTTTTGGTTAAGAAGTAACAGGATTCTGAAGCAAGTGTAAAAGTGTGGAGTTCTTGGCTGGGAATACGGGCGTTTTCTCGTCTCAAATTGACTTAGATGAGATATCTTCAGGCAATTTATTTTCCATGGTGGTGGAGAATCAAGAAATTTTGAGTTTGACATAGAATGAAATCCAAACGATTAGAAAAAGTTGATCGCCTAGTGCCTAAAGGAAGACAACTGTTGCATTTAGAGCTATAGCAACGAAAGAAAAAAATTCAAATGGCTTAGTAGGGACATTGAGGTGAAGTACAGTTGGGTGAAGAGAAATGCTAACTCAATTGCCGATGGGTTAGCCAAGCAAGGGTGAATAGGGAATCTTTGTTTTGGGCTAATTTCTAATTTTTTTGAAGAGTAAAATAGAAATTTTATTAAAAGAAAAAGATCAGTTACATGTAGTAGGTGACAAGATGGCACCTAACTAACAAAACAGAGCAAAACTGAACTAGGTACAGTCCAACACTACGACTGGTACAGATACATCATTGAATCTCAAGCAAACACATTTATCAAAAAAAATCTCAAGCAAACACCAGAAATTTTCCCCCAAATCTGATCTGTTTACTTGATCGAAATCTGGTTACACCCAAACCCAATCTGCAATTAACTTCCCAACCAGAGCCACCAGAACTTCTGTCAGTCTGTGTTCTTGAGTTTGTCTTAAAAAATCCTTCTGTTCCTTTCGTTCCATAGTGTCCAGCACACAGCAAATGGGATGCGGCTCCAAACTATCCCTGCTTTCCTACCTCCCCCAATTCTTGGCCAGGTGGAGAAAATTTCTGCCGCAGTTCTTGGCCGAATCGCACTTTTCCCAAATAAAGAAGTGTAATAACTCCAAATTATTCTTGCAGTCTTGCAGGTAGAAAATAAGTGCAGAACAGATTCTTCATCTGCACTACACATGACACAATAGTTTGCCATATGAAACCCTTTGCTCTTCAGATGATCAGATGTTAAGATGCTGTCCATGGAAACCAGCCAAGCAAAAGCTTCCACTCTAGGTGGAGTGGGGTTCCCCCAGATTCCACCCTTATAATCTGATCCCTGCTGGTCCTTTAACATAGCTAGATAGAAAGATTTCACTGAGAAAACCCCATTCTTGCACTCTTTCCACCACAAACCATCCCTCGAGGAAGTGGATATCTCCACTTTCTGAAGCATTTCAACAACTGAACACATTCTTCTATTTCCTGGTCTAGCAAGGGTCTTCTGAATTTGGGACGCCATACAATCTTTTCTCCGCACACTTCAAAGCATTGATCAATTCTAATCTGGTGTTCAGACAGCCTATAAAGTTTTGGGCACACTTCACACAGCTTCTGTTATGGGCCCGCGAATAGGATCTCGTCACGGGTCGGTCCACGGGAAAACCCTCTGTTTTCCCTTGTTCCTCCCTGCTCTTGATGGACCTATCTAGGCGCCCTAATGGTGATTTGTTCAAGAGATCACCTAACTCTCCTTTACTCTCTTTCTTGACTGAATATT